TAAAATTCCATGTTACTATGAACAAGATGTTAAAATTCCATGTTACTATGAACAAGATGTTAAAATTCCAAGTTACAATGAACAAAGATGTTAAAATTCCATGTTGCTATGAACAAGATGTTAAAATTCCATGTTACTATGAACAAGATGTTAAAATTCCATGTTACAATAAACAAGATGTTAAAATTCCATGTTACAATGAACGTACAAATGAAGAACTAATAGAAATGATTTTTTTTTGTTGTTATTTTCAGTTGGTAACCAGTGTGTTGTAACCAATAACAGTGCCCCGATTAAAAAACAGAATTTATACCCTGTAGAAACTCCAGCACCCAGACCCAACTCGGCACCGATTACCAGGAAAGGCACTAAATGCAAAGTGGAGGGGTGTACCTACTTCGGAGATCCTATCTTCCACAACATGTGTACGAATTGCTACCATATTTTCAATCCCAAATCAATAGACATGACTAGAAACGAGAAATTTCCCGTGCAGGAAGCCTCCTTATCCCAGGGTGCTTCAAATTTCCTATCAAATTTCAACAGTTTTGATCGAAGTGCCCAGGTTTTAGAGCAGTCTCGAAGGGAGCAGACTACTTGTCGAGCTCATGGATGTCAAAATCATGGAAATTCACATTGCGAGGGTTTCTGTAACAATTGTTATAGGAAATCTTATCTACAAGTTTGCTCTAAAAGCTTTGAACAAATTGGGTAAGTGATGAGAATATTACATTAGATATGTTGATGGCTCCTATGCCTATTGTTCGCTGAATGTTTACAGCTTGGAGTGCATAGTAAGTGAGCTTGGTATCTGTGGAGACTGGATGAAGGAGAGAGGATGAAGATGATTAATAGGATTCACACATTTTGCTTTAATAACATGATTGGAGGCAAACAAAGATTTTTTTGGATCTATATTTTATATTATATCATATTATATTAAGACATATTCAATTTTTTTGAATTATGATTTAAGTTAGTTATTCTTTTTTTGTTTTCTTTCAATAATCAGTTTTATTTA